AAGAAGATACAAAATTCGCAAGCCCAAAAATTCTTTGTACAGCATACTAGTGAAAAAATTTCAGGTACTCGAAAATACTCGAGTATATTTTTAAGTACTCGTAAAGAAAACTACCGAGTACGAGTACTGAAGATTTTGTACTCGAGTATACTCGTACTCGACTCGTACTCGCCCATCTCTGACTACTAGCCAGTGTAAAATAGAATATAACGAAACGTACAGTATGAAATATCATTAAAACATACAAGTCAACAATGGAAACAAAAATCTCGAAAAAACGTCTTTTTTTTCGTAAATCACTTAATGTTTCACCACCATCATTAGAAGCTAATTCAATCTGACCGAGTCGTTCAAGTACAGCAGTAAATAAATCAAAGAGTGCTTTTAATCGTTCCTTATCTTTCATTATACCCAGCACTTGAAAATATAATTCTTCAATATCTTTAGGAAATTTGGAACCGAACCCATCATCGCTATTTTTTTTGCTATTATAATTACAGGAAATTTCAGCCTTTCATCACTACTTCTTTTATTTGGTCTCTTTTTACTTAATGTTTATGGTCTGATGTCAATGGTGACGAACGGTCTGCGAAGATGCACCCAATCCATCTGTGCTTTTGACTACTCTAATAAATTATTGTACTATTAGAAATAATATGAAACGAATAACACAAGGATCTTTTTCTGTTTGAAAATAAAGATTAGTGTGAAATGGAATACGAAACGATACGTTTTTAGTGTGGACTGGAATACGAAACGATACGTTTTTAGTGTGGACTGGAATACGAAACGTGAGTTCTTAAGTTTTATTTTGTGCCAAAAAGTTCAATTAATAGAAATCTAAAACCGTGATAGAGAATGTCATTTTTGTCTATGATTATGAACAAAAATTCAGTGAGAGTAAACCAATTAGGACTTTTCAAAAAAAATAGGGCAGGGCCTGTCGTGACATTTTAAAAGATCTAGCGACATCCTCTTACTTCGATCTTATCGGTCCATGAACGTTACTAGCGTCAAGTGCTCAGAATCAATCAAAAACACAAATAGAAGGCTCTGTGAGTCCTTACAGGAGAGAGAGTGAAATGGATCAGTCAAATGTATGCCGGATCCCACTCGAGTGATGAACCGAGCCTATTCGCTCAAGTCGAAGTAAAGGTTTCTTTATTTTGGATCAGACGACGAATACACAAAACAAAAGAATATACTTTTTCCTTAAACATATTACAGGTTTTTTTTTAATTGTCTAATTGTATAATGCGATGATTTGGTATGTCCAAATATAATTTCATTGCAATCATTGTGTTCATCCCAAGCAACGGTCGGTTATATGTTTCATAATCATATCCGATGACTTCTGTCGGTGTTGGTTTTCCTTGAAATTCAACAACAGCCGAACGATAGAACACTTTTTTCAATTGACAACCATATTGATCCGGTTCAATTCGACGATCATACTCGTCCAGACCCAACTCAACACAATGTTTAACGGATAAAGTTAATAATGGAACACCAGTTGAACAAATAATATTATATTCTTTCATTCGTGGAACAGGAATGATCTTCGTTGAATAATAATCATCTGGATTATACACTTTAATTTTTGCACGAATAAATAATGGGTCACCGTCTGAACAGATCGAAAATAAAATCAACAACTGACGAATAAATACCTTGCAACGTTCAAGTGAAAAACTTGAAACAGCACTATAAATTTGTCATTTTCAAATTTAAAACTAAATCGTCTATAGAAAAAAACCCACTTCGTTTGCTAGGTAATGAAAGACTTAGACAGCATGGCGAAATCGTGTTTCTGAGGGATATAAGAACTTTCTTAATGATATTGGCTGTCCTGTGGCTACCAGTCAGGAAAAAGAAATCAATGACAAATTTTCTTGTTCTATCTCATCTCTATAAAAACTTGAAATTAAGGTCTAAATAGAGACTTACCATCGTTCGACAGGTCCATAAGCAGTGTTTTCTCTCTTATCTTTAGAATGTAAACGAATGAATGGCTTTATTCAGTAATAGAATATTTTCCCGTTTGCTCCCTTGACTTTAGTCTAGAGTCTTACAAAATGGTCGTCTGTGTGTGTGTGCGCAAAATAAGGAAAAATGGCTGTCAAATATTCTATGGATAAGCCAATCATAAGCGAGAACCATAAAAAATTTCTTTTTAACTACGCGAGACAAAATATTCAAAGAGATAATCTGACATCCATACTCATGCAGAGAGAAAAAACCTAAGCAAACGTTTTCTGTAGTCCGGAGATAGATGTCGTGAGACAGCAGTCAACGATGATAAAAACGAAAAGAATCGTGTACGGATACTAAAACTTACAGTGTACATGATCTATCATAGCAAATCGATTAGATATAGTTCCAACCTCTTTGGGATCTGCAGAGGGTGTCCAGAAAACCTTTTGGCCTTATATTACATCAGACGTTTTTTCCGTGGAATCAGAGTAGTTCACAGTGTTTCTCGGCTATACTGGCCGCGAACGCCGATCGAAGGGAGGCGAGAGCATTGTTTTGAATTCAGAAATATTTTTAGACCTCTGGAGATCTTAGCGGGGTCTCGAGAAAACCTTTTAGATTTACATTAGATTACGAACCTTATACGACAAATCAAAGAAAAATTTAGAACGTATTTTAGATATTGCCCTAGCGAACGCCGACCGAAGGGAGGCGTGAGCATTGTCGTGGATTCAAAAGTGATCGAGGATCGTTTGCAGATATAAGTTCCTAAAGTCAAAGGACCAAGCGAGTGCAGACGAGCGTTACCTTGTCTTTAAACATAAAGTATTCCCTTAGCTTTAGTCTATGGCCATACAAAATAGTTCATCAGATCGCCAAGGGCGTTGGTGGAGCTAGTTTGTCTGATTGTATTGAATTAGACCATGTGTAAGCTGTTTCGGGTTACCAAATCACTTTTTTTTCTGAAGAAAACTTTCATGAGCTTTCAAATCTGTATAATTGCAAAGTGAAATTAAGAAATAGTCACCAATGCACTTAGAATCCGTAGTCCAACCTCTACCAGATTTGTTACTGGTTCACAGAAACCAATAAAAAACTTATCCCAAATTCCCCAAATTGCTGCTACGTAAAACCTCTATGTTAGCACAAAAAATTGAAAGCGCGTAGATGATTGGGGGGGGGGGGGGGGGGGGTGTAGGCCAAAACCGGGCGCGGGGTGCCCAAAAATACCCCCGTATTNCCCCCCCCCCCGCCACCCCCCCCCCCCCACGCCCCCCCCCCCCCCCCCCCCCCCCCCCCCCCCCCCCCCCCCCCCCCCCCCCCCCCCCCCCCCCCCCCCCCCCCCCCCCCCCCCCCCCCCCCCCCCAAATCCAAAAACGGGAGCAAGGTCTCCAAAAATAAGCCCCTAATTCTCCGAGCTCATGGTGAAGTATAAATAATTGACGAGCATCACTCATTAAGTTTGCCTAAACATTACATTCACTGTAATTTTCTCAGACGTAGGCGGAAAAAAATACAAATAAGTCATCTAAGTCGATTAAGAAAGCTTCTTCAAAGGACACATTTAATATCAGTTTTCGGAGAAAGCAGCACTTCAGTATTCGAAAAAACCAAAATCAGAGTAAATCATCCTTCGGGTTTCTCCGAAATTCGGAGTAAATCGTTCTTATCTTTGTTCAAATTACGAGTAAACCGTTCTTGATTTTGTTCAAAATCGGAGTAAATCACTCTCCGAGTTTCTCCAAAAGTGGGAGTAAAGGGCCCATGACTTTCTCCAAAACGGGAGTAAATGGGCCTTGATTTTGTTCAAAACCGGAGTAAATCATTAATGACTTTGTCAAATTGGAGTAAATCACTCTCCGAGTTTCTCCGAAATGAGAGTAAAGCGTTCTTATTTTTTCCCAAATTAGGGAGTAAATGGTTCATATTTGTTTCACAAATTGGAAGTAAATTTGACCAACTTTTTTTTAGAAAAGTATGGGGGGTAGCAATTGAAAAAGAGCAAAAATAGAGGTAGCAATTGAAAAAATAGAGTATTGTTTTTTTACACGAGAGGGAAGATATTCAAAGTGAGTGACTGATATAATATTTACTGATGCAGAGAAAAAAAAGCTAAGCAAACTGTTCGTGTTAGGGGATAGATGTCGTCAGAAAGCAGCCAATTTCGCTAACATAAAAAAAGTCATCCACCCATAATAAAAGTCATAGAATGGCCAATCCATCAGAAATACTTGCAATCCCGTTTCGGGTCTTCAGAGGATGTTCAGAAAACTGTTTAGCTCACAGAAAACGGTTAGTTCTGCTGCTCTTGATGCTCTTCGAGAACAAAATGAATTCAAATTCTTTCTTCGTTCTGTACAACCACTTACTGCTGTCTCACAAAGTTTTGGTAATGTAGCACCATCAGCCGATTTTAGTAATACTAGTTCATTTGAGAAATATATTGACTTAAAGAAAACTCTTTATGTTCGTTCGCTCAATCTTAATTCACCTGATATTGCTGCTTTACAGTCGCTTAATACTTATTCACTTGAAGCAACATTTAGTTTATCACTTATTGAGGAGGCATGTTCCACTTTTCTCTCTCCTCCGAAAATTATGGATGTATGTGAAATGGTAGGAATTATATCTGATTATTTGAGATCCCAAAAGATAGGCTATGATGTTAACTTAGTTATCAATTCATTGAAGTCCGATATTTTGAAAGCTTTTTCACTAGCAAATTCTGATGTGACGCATCTTAGAAGGCACAAGTTCTTTATATTTTCTATCCCAATAATCAGTCGTAACTCTGATATCTTGGACCCTCTTCGTAACGTGGACATAGATGAAATTATCGGACCTTATCATTCTCCTCGATCCCCAAAAAAATAAGGATGTACTATACACTGAAGAATGTTTTCCAGATCTCGTTCGTATTAATGAAAAATGGCACGTTGAACAGGAAAAAATTAAACGAGAACTGTTGCATTTGAAAGATGAGCATAACATCAGTGATAAAGGCCTCGATGCCATTGACAAATTTATAAAAAAACATCAAAAGTTTTTTTCAATTCATTATCTTCGTAAAAAGAGGAAGGAGACTAATCAAAAGTTTCCGATTGTTAGTATCGTAGACGGGGCTTATATTCAATTTGAATATGCTATAAAAACTGCTTTATTCATAGCACAGCGGAAAAATCGAAATCTTCATCAACTACCCCAGATAACCTTTCGACTGAATATGGATGGAACCCTTATTGGTAACAAACACATTGTAGCTATATCTGTTAATTGTGTTGAAGGTGGTCGAGATTGTCAATCACCAAAAAATTTAGTTCCCGTTGGTCTGTTTGAGTTTCCAAAAGAGTCATGTGAATTATATCGAAAGATCCTTCCTAAGTCGTTCCTAGATAGTTTAAGTAACGTTAAATATGTCCGTTTGAATAAGAAAGATATTCCTATCAAGCTAAAACTCGGAGGTGATTTCATGAATGCTGTTTATGTGTTTGGGTTAGCGGGTGTTCAGTCAAATTTTCCTTGTATATTTTGTACTCAACATAAAAGTAAATTAGAACAACCCGATACCACTTCATACTTTGATGTTCAAAAGGGTGCACGAACGTTAGAAGAACAGAAACTGTGCTTAAAAAAAACAGAAAAGAACAGTAAAGGTTACAAATGTGAACCCTTATTTGGAGACTTGTTTGAGTTTAGTGATTACATAATGGACACCTTGCACATGAAACTAAGAGTGTATGATGTTTTTATGACCGACATATTACATTACACCTCTAAACGAGAAAGATATGGCAAAGAACATGATCTAGCAATGGAAAGAAAAGTTGATATTTTAAACGAACATGCAAAGAAACGGATTGGTAAAAGAGTTTTCTTCGCATATGACAGTAAAGAGCAACTAGGAACAGATTATGATTTTATTACTTCCGGAAGCAATGACTCAAGTTCAGATGGTCAGGAAGAAGACGAAAATGAAAATGATGAATCATGGTTTAATTTAAGCGGCAGAAAAATAGTGACCGCTGCCCGTTTTTCTTCTTTTAAAAGAATCAAAAAATCATAAGTCTCAAATTCATTTAAAAGATCCAGTGAAGACAGCACACTTGTGTTAACCTGAGTTGAGACAACATATCAGCGACTCGGAGGTGGATCCGCCTGAGTGGTCGATCCACCACTGGTATGTTGTTCACACTCTCTTAACAAAAAGATGTTCCTCTTCCACTCGTGATCTCTATTAAGATCTATACCTTTTGCTTCATTTCCATTCGCACTGTCTTGTGGTCGCCAATGATACTCGTTATTTTTATATATATTTAGTGAATATGCAACGACGTCGTCTACAACATCCGAAACCTGCAATTTCATCGTGAAGACAAATTCCATCATGCAACCAACATACAATTTCGAGTTATTAAACAACAAATAGAAACTATGGAACATCAAGAATACAGCCTCGTTTAATTGCCACTGATCTTTTGTTTTGTGTATTTGATTATTTTTCCTTTACCTATTATTTTGTCTCATCAGCATTTCTGTATTCTTATTTATCAAACAAATTACTTCACATTAGCTTTACAATATATTGAACAATGTCCGAGCAAGCAAAAGTTTGGACGTATACTTACTAAACTGAATATTCAATTAAAACAGAGTTTGCTCTACTCTCATATTGAGTTTAACAAAAAGTCGTTGTATATGTCTGTTACATGCCAAGATACGAAGAAAGAACCAAATGAAGCATACAACATGCATATACGACGACTTTCTGACGACAACGTTGAAAATTTATCAGTGCAGATAAATAGAAAGGAATATGTAACTTATAAAAACAGTATAAAATATGCACTTTAGTACACATCTATGAATACTTTGCCTTGTAGTATTACTCATTTCAAGCAATACAAACACTGTTACGATAAAAAAAAACTCACGTTCACGTTCACCTCGAGTTCGCGCTCAGAGAAAACGGTGTAAAAGAACGGTGAACGTTCCGGGCCTAGTCGCGATTGAAGCTTCGGACTTTTTCCTGTGTATTTTTTTATTTTCATGGTATTTGGAAAAGTGTTCTGTACGTTTTCTGTAGAGAATTGAATCACAAATCGTTTAATTCTATGCAATGAAAGATAAAAGATTTAGTAAACATACCTTCCACTTTAACTTTGAGTTTCATCACATAGTCAACAGTAACATGAACAACTGATATGAGTACCCATTATATTGATAAGTGGGTGCTAAGTAGGTTGACAGCACTGACAAAAAGCGTCTAGACTATCGATTCTTCACAAGTGTTTTGTGCTTGGTGAAACCTTGTTTTAAATATTTCGTGTCCATCTTTATATCCAGGAATATCGAAACCTTGATATAGAGAAATATTGATGTGTTTAATTAAAATTCGTCTTGAATTTTGAATTTCTATTGTGCAAGCAATATTTTCGTTAGGAACAAAACCTAATTTGTTCAGTGAACCCTTTAACTCAATACCTTTTTCAGTTTTGATTCTCAAATATTGTTGAGACGAAGATATTTGGAAATTGTAATAAACTTGCACATGGAAACACAGTAATATAGAATGTTTCATGAATGTTTCTTTTATACCAAGTTTTATCGAGAATGACTTAGAACCTGTATCGAACGTGTGGATAGGACGCGGGATCATTCAGTGATGGAGGTAAATTGTTGGGCAACTGAATTTGAAACGGCCAAGAATACTGACCGGGAGTGTAAATAAGTTCTTTATTTCCAAGATTAGGATAAGTGAAGTCAATTCTTCTTTTGAATTATTTCTTTATTTCTGCCTTTATTTTTAAAATGTAACACGACAACGAAGAAAAGAGAATATTTTTCTCTTTGTTACAAGATAAAATGGATGTTTGGTCTATCGTCGCTGAACGTCGTACTAGTGTTCGAGTTTTAATTTTTTTAATCTAAACTGTTTTGAGGAGATATGCCTTTGAACAGCATCAATGTCTCTTTGTTCGAATCCAAGACGCATAGTGAGCAATTAAATTAAAAACGTTGAACAAAGGACGAAGTGCGCTAAGAACAAGAATCGGCCCCATTTCAGATCTTCTCGAAAGGTGTCTAGAATGAAAGAGCATGTAAGAGAGAGAGCTTTAGTGTTTCAGACACCTGGTTTCGCTTGGGATTTGATATCTTTGACCAATAGCTCCACGAACGCATTGCGATGTATTTTTCGTACTTCTCTCAGAATGAAACAAGTTTGAAGGAAAATCTGCTGACCACATTCCGTCAAGTAAAACCTTAAAAGCGATATCAACTTAAAGGGCTATACATTACGATGAAGAAAAGTTATGCTACGCGTCGGGGTCTTGAGTTAGAGATTTCTGAAAACCTGGTTTTCTAGCAACCGAGTGATCTTAAAATTATTTTCAGAAGTTTTTCAACCATATCATTGAATAGCCCCTTCAGTTTTCCGCAAAATGAGATGCTGGTCAAGTTTCTACGATCTTGGACGACCGAGTTAAGGTTGTTTAACATTACGCATATAAATTCATGTGCTTCAATGCCGTTTTCGATCTGTATCGTATTTTCCGTGACAGTTTGGCACAACATTGTAGAAACTAGGCTAGCATCTCATTTTGTGGAGAATTGAAGAGGCTGTCCAATGATATGATTGAAAAGCTTCTGAAACTTTCTATCTGGAACACCATAGAATCACATGCCCTTTCATTCTACACACCTTTCGAGAAGATCTGAAATGGAGCAGATTCGCGTTCTTATTGCACCTCGTCCTCTCATGCAATTTTTTCTAAAAGAAGTAGAAATCGTTCTAGATTTATTGGTTTTGGGTGGAAAAGTTCGTTCGATCGAGTCTCTTTTCATAGAACTTCGTGCAGAATAGAAGCACATTGGACCAAAGTCTTTCGACTGGCTGTTGTCCCGATGCCGTCCACGCATGTATATGCCAGTTGTGGATATTGCTGCTTTGGCTTCTTTCCATTTTTCGTATCATATTGGCAGAATTATTAATTTCTCTTGTAAATTCAAATAAACAGTTTATTCAGTAAACGAAAATTTCGTTTTAAAATAGCTGTCTTCAACCTGATTATCATACCCTGATCAGTATTATATGCTGTCATCATATTTCAGTCAACTACAACAGTACATGTCATTCCCACATCTATGGCGATCGGTAAACATCCTTACCGATAGGAATGTTAGCCGGTTACTTTGTCGGCCGCGACTAGGGGCGGTACCACGGGTGGGCTCAGCCCACCCTGAAAAATTTTTTTTTTCTTTTCTGTAGCTTTTCTTGTCTGTACGAAAGTTTAAGAGCGGCGTAGATAGGGAGAGAAATTAACTTGGTTGCGAAAAATAAACACTACCTTTTTTCCTTTCCGAGTACAGTCGGGCTGAGCCCACCCTGGCTACAATTCCTACAAGCTGTCAAATTGGAAGCTTTCCGGCGGTGACGTCGAAAATTAAAAATGTTTCGCCTTTGACGATGGAGGCGTAAAAATTCTAAAAGAAATTAAAATTTTCAATAAATCTTCTTTAAAGAAGCTTTGAGAAAGTTTCTGACAAGTTCGATCTATAACGGCGGTTCTGGACTAACTGTTATTACACATGCCTTGTATCGTTCACGACAAAGTATATCAAGATCGTATTGTTCTGTTCTGTTCTCTTCTTCTATTTTATGAAAAAAATCTCTGGTTCACTCTCCATCGTTTCTTACTTTTCTTTTTTCGTTTCTGTGAATAAATATATCGAAATGTAGAAAGCGATTCAAGTGGTATCAATTTTGACGGCATCTTTCAAGAAGACATGCGCAGTCATTTTTGTGATTATTTTGGTAGTTGGAAGAAACCAAAAGATACACATTCTACCTTCATGTCTTTTTAAATGTACAAACATAAATATGCAGAACGCTAGGGATGTTACAAATAGGATGAGTGAATAAATGATCACTTTAGCGATCTTTTCAGACGACGTTAAATTGGAACGTTCTTTTTTGCATACTATACTACACGAAAAAAGGAGCGTTTCGCTGTAATGTCGTCTGAAAAGATGACAGGGCAACAGTGGCTGTGATAAAGTGATCAACTATTCACTCATCCTATTTGTAACATCCCTATTCATACTACAATCATTATGAGTGAACAAATCAGTTCTTTCATGTTTAACTGATATTTTAGATAAAATAATAGACTTACTTATCATTGTAAATAATATAAACATCAACTAATGGCGTCTATCTTCGAAAGCCTACCCAATGAACTATTTGTCGAAATATTTGCATATATGGACGTTATTGATATGATTGACACATTCTATAATCTAAATAGTCGGATAGACAGAATTATTCATTCTGTTTCATTGTCCATAAATTTGAATGATATTAATGTTGAATATGGCCGCAAATATGTTGTACCTCTAATTGGTCACCAAGTCAACTCATTTATAGTATCACCATTCAATTATTATTATTATGATGATATATCAGCATTTTATGCTTGCCTGCATTACTTTGATAATTTAAGATCACTTAAAATCAACTGCAGAACATTTAAAGAAATTCAACAAATATTATTAAAATTGAATTTTGAGCATTTGAATCATTTCTCAATCAATTTTACTGATGATTATTTCGAAGAAATGTATCTTAATATACCTTTTTGTCGGATGAAATCATTAAACAGATGCCAAATAGTAACGGATACCATTGATTGGTGTTTGCTACCCATTTATTCTGAGGATGTTTCCTTTCAAACAATAGTATATTTAAAACTTGGTTATTGTAGATTTGATACATTTTTCACAATATTAACATGCGGTTGCCTCCCAAAACTCATATCCATCAATGTCCGAATTAGCAAGGATATTCATAATACATTAGCACCCGCACCACTTGCCTTTCCACCTCAGCTAAAAGTATTAAAATTATGGCTCTGTAATGTGCTCTTCGAATCAATCGGCTTTGTGCTAAAACATTTACCCGCATTGGAATATTTATCTTATAAGAAGTTCAATAGTGTCGAAGATGAAACACATACTAAAAGCAAACAATGGATACAAATACTTGTAGCATTACCGAAGCTTAAG